GTTGATGTTAACATGCAAAAGCGGTACTTTGATGATATGTTCCTTACACGACACTGGTGTACTAGCACAAGTGAAAAGGCAACCGGCTAACTCACCATAACAGTAACCAATCACTTCAAAGCTTTGGTTATGGTTTTGGACTAGCCAGGGAAGTTGCACAGATCGACCAAAAAAGTGTTAGAACTACTTGCGGATAGTTAGGAATACTATTTTGAAGGTCGACAGAATACAAAGAAAATATGGGTTAAAAAACTCATGTTTGAAGCCGAAAAATCAGTTCCTGCTAAGAAGTAAGCTCTTGTTCCAGAATTCTTCAGTAAGCTCTTGAAGTTCTCTGCTATGAATCTGAAGGTCTCCAACCTCCCAAGTATACTGGCCTGGCTCTATTGTAAGTATAGAATTACCATCTCTCTTGATCAATTAATGTAGTTAGTAGTAAAGAATATTCGTGTTTGTATTAAAGAAATATAATCTATATGTACTAGTTATTAATACTGATTAAAAGTAATAGTAAAAATTATGAGAAATTAATGATTAATAAACTTTTAACTAAGATTGTATGCTATGTGTAAAAATTTAATAAATGTTGTTATACTTTGTTCGATGTTAGACTCTATTTCTTTATTCTAACTGTAAATTACCTCGAGTTAGCGACTTGTAAGCTCCACTCGCCACTGCAATTCCTCAACTAAATAAATTTGGTGTAATTGGCGGTATGATTGAAACTAAAACAATTTGCCCTAAGGGCGGTGCCCAATACACACCCTTTTTAATAGTATCTTTCTGAAAACATATTCTGAAATTACATCATGGCTAATTATTTACTGTTAAAATGCTCCCCAGTGGCGCAGCGGTATGTCTGCGGACTTACAACGCTAGAATCCGGGTTTCGATACCAGTGGTGGGCAGAGCACAGACAGCCCATTGTTTAGCTTTGTGCTTAATTACAAACAACAACTTTGCTACAACTACTAAATTCCAATTGTATGGGTATGGATAGATTACAAACCAAAATACCTGTTCACAGCAAAGATATAAATTGTTGGTTTGATAGAAATATGGTCAATACAGTATTCTTCTCTGAGAATAAAATACTTACTATTTTTATACCTGAAAGATTAGCATAAATTAGTCAAAATAATGAATTTTTTTACACCATTAATCACCACAACAATAGCTTTTAACATTAAAGTATATTTTTCCAATACCTTTACTCTCTTTAGATTGATACTACTAAATTTTACATACAAAATTCAACAACTTTAACTATTATTATTAATCTGAGTCCATTATCCCAAGTAAGTAAAAAGGTAATACAGTAATTATTGTATTAACAAGCCATAACTTGCATTACAGGACTAAATATAAAAAAAAATCAAAAATTTCAAGAAATATGATTCAGTTTATTAAAAACGAGAAATTTACTATATAAAAACTCCAAGGTACATTTTGACATAATTAATTATCTTTTTACACATAGTTTTCTTCATTGTAAAGTGATTTTCAACAGACTTTACTTTCATAAAGTCAATGAGAATGTATACTGAAGCTTATTGCTTAAAATTAATTAACCAAAATATCTCGTAATTCTGTGCAAGTTTGTTAACCTATCTGTTTGAAAAAATGTTCTTTGCCAGAAATTATAAATAATCATGTAATTCTGTGTAAGCTTGTTAACCTATCTGGTTGAAAAATGTTCCTTACAAGAAATTAATTTAAACATGTTAACCTATCTGGTTGAAAAATGTTCTTTGCCAGAAATTAATTTAAACATGTTAACCTATCTGGTTTAAAAATGTTCTTTGCCAGAAATTAATTTAAACATGTTAACCTATCTGGTGGAAAAATGCTTTTTGCTAAAAATTAATTTGAACAATGTTTTCCTTAATTTAGTGAATGTGTAAAACTGAAACCTAAAATAACAAAAGTCAAGATTTTTTCTTTTTAATTTGTAATAATAAATTCCACAAAGTACTGAAACATTGAGTTTCTCATACGTCTGTACATCAAACTAGATGTCAAGATTTTCAGAAGAAACAAAATCAATCACTAGTTAATTTGCAGCCATAGCTTGTTGAGCAGCTATACTAGGACTGTTCACAATTTCTCCAAGAGATTCAAGGAGTTCACGTCTGTAATCATCAAAGTCTCCATCAATTTCACTAATGTTTTGATCTTCAATAACCCATAGTTGGCAGTTTGTTTCACGAATCAATCGCTCATCATGGCTCACGATCACAACACCTATAAACAACAATTTAATTTAACAAAAAACTTTTCCCCAAATATTTACTTAATTTCTTATGACAAGTATTAATTAGTATGTATTATATTAGCTCTTGCTAAACACAAAACAGAAAATATTTTACTGAAAAACATGAAAAAGTTGCTACTCCTATCATTTTGGACTTTTGTAACAAACATAACTGGAGTTGTCTCTGTTTCAGGTTTTATGTTTGTGTAGGAAGTTTTCTGCTGGAGTGACCTTGTATTCTTCATTTTTTAATAATAATGCATTAACCCTACATATATGAGCTGGGTGGATACCACCCTGCTCATAACTAAGAAAGTATCCATGAGAGTAATTATGCTATAATTTTTGATAATGTATGCATATCTTTACAAACTCTTGCAGATCCTTAGTAAACATTACAAGGCTTTTATACAAAAAAATATCAGGTTTATAAATTAAGTATTAAGTTTACTTTATTAAAGATTTGCTTGTGAAATTTTTTCTTTCAGAATGTTGACTATCCAACATGCAAAGTATTTTTGATTTTAAGATTAAAAATTCTTTTCCTTATCTGAAAATTGTCAAGTTTATTTGAGTAATCTCTACATTCTTCTAGGTAATCATCAAACGTTTTTCGAATAAAACTTTATATCTAATCTGTTATTTTATTAACTCTATGTGGTGTTGGTTGATTAGACTGACAGTTAATATTTTTCCCAAGCATTTCCTATTTTTCATGCATACTAAACGCAGCTGAATGAGCTACATCTGCACACACAAGCATCTCAGAACATATTAATGTATTATTATATAGATGATATAAAACTGCTCCAGCAGAACACTTCCTACACAAACACAAACAAAATTAGATTTAGTTTCTATCCTAAGAAATATCAAAGGTTTTAATTGAAGGAAAAAATACATGGAAGTTATACTAATTAACAAAAAATAAACAAATGGTGGTACAGATAAATAATTTCCAACTCGAACACACACCAACAATATATTGAGCAAAAGTTTCTTATTATATCTTGTGAATCAATAACTGTGCATGCTACCAGTCACTGTATTACACCCACTTTCCCTAATAATATTCTACAGACCGTCCCATGTATTTGCAGTTTCAATAACAAATTACAAAACTAGTTTATTTTCATACTGTCAGTAAATTTTGTATCCTTTCAACTCAAATTTTGTTTTTCAACTGCCTCAATTTTTATTTATTTTGTGACATTTTGAAGCTGTATTATGTATTCCACATAAATCAGATGGTAGTATCATCACTGTACTACAATATGGCTGTGAAACAACAATATTCTATACATTTTAAAAGCACCTCACAAAAGTCTTGAGAAAAAGAACATCACAAGCAGTGTAATAAGTTTTTGTACTACTAGTCCTCATGAAGTTGCCATGGCAAAACTGACAAAAATAAAAGATTTCTCTATTATTATCTAGAGAGTAAAGATAGTTTTCTTTTCAACTTTATTGCAAAATTATTTAAATCCCTTTAGTATGTGCAAAAAATTTTGAAAACTGAGAAAATTGCTATAAAATTAAGACTGATAAATATAGGCAGTGATTATAAATTTACTCATTTAATGGTATATTTCTCTAACGAAATAAGGTTGTTATTTAATTACAAGTTTTCCTGTTGTTGAATTTTCTTAATATCTGTTTGACTAAATACAGGAATGTTTGTACAATATCTACATTTTCAAATTGGTTTATCTTGAATTTTTAAATTTAAATTGCTACTTAGACACCAGTATATACATATATATAATACTGGTGACCTGTTTGATATCACTTAGTTTATTCATATTGGGAACAGACTTGAACAAGTTACTATAATGAGCACTACTGAATTCTCAGCTTTATTTTTCAAACTATAAGAAAATCAATTAGTGATAAAATAATTTATTAACCCTTTGTGGCAGACACTTCCTATCTTAGGATAAGGATTAATAAACAGAATGGATAATGTCCAGCTTATAGACAACTACTATTATATTAGATAGGGCTGTAAGTCTACAATGAATGATGCTATCCTACCACAAAGTTCCTAAGGCATAATATATATATTTTAGTAAATTTATGATGGATGAGTGTGAAATGCATGCAGCAAAATAATGTTATTTCATTTTAATATTAAAATAAAACTGAAGCTAAATATGCAACTTACTTTTATGTTTATTTCAAAAGTTATAAGCATAAGAGAAAAATAAATAGTACTGTGTTACCTCCTTCGTAGTCATTAACAGCATCAGCTAAGGCATCAATTGATTCAATATCCAAGTTGTTGGTAGGTTCATCCTGTACAACAGAAGAAAACATGAACATTTATACCAGGTAGAGACAGTGGCCAAGATGTACATGTATGTTATTTCACAGTGGTTCAGTTTCACTGTTCTATATATGACTTAGAAATCAACACAGATTACTAATCAGGGGACAAAATAGTTGGTGGATTTGATTAACCCTATCATGACAGCATCCTTTACTAAGCATGTTACAAAGTTTTAGTAAATAATATAAAAAATTTTATTAATCTACATTTTGTTTATGTTATACCAATTAGAATAGCATAACATTTTAGCTAATAATCCATATTTTAATAGTATACAAGTTTTAAATTCTTAATTTACAAAAAAATATTTTAAAAAATCCAGAATTTCCACTAGTGTGACCCACGTGACATTTTCTCTTAGCATGTCATCATCCTTATTTTATCCATCACCCCTCAAAAATGTATGCAATTAAATATAAAATACTCTATAAAATCATTATTGTTTAAACAAGCAATAATTTTTATAGCCTTCAATTTTGTTTGGTAACAGAGCTATCAAATAGAAAATCAGACCCCTCCTACCACACCCACCTGTCACATCCTCTTTTTCACAATCCGTTGATAGTTCTCCCTTACGTTTCATTATATATTACTTATAACCAATAGAAAGTCAAGGTTTTCATCTATCAAATGACATATTGTATAATGTTGTATTCTGAACAGAATATCACCAATTTCACTCACAGTACAAGATTCGTTCCCGTGGAAAAGTTAACGACTAGCTTGGATGAATTTGTAACGGCTCTTGTCACATACTTAGAAAGCCAGGAAAATTTTAAGAGATAAGTGAATTTATCCACTTTTTGCATGTTATTAGTCTATATTCTTTGGTGCATTATTTAATTAAATAAAAAATTATTAAGTGAATTACTATCTATAGTATAAAGAATTAGGGTTAACTTTCTTGGAAACCCGACAGCAAGAGAAAAGAAGATTGGGTAAGTATTTCATTTCTTGTTTTTCATATTTATTCTGTATTTATTATTATAAAAGTAACTAAAATCTAAAAAATATGGATCTTTTTAAGTTATTTAAGACTAGATTAGGTAAAATAAGTATTAATAATAATGCATAATAAAAAATGGTTCACGAGGCATGCACGGGAGCAGCTCGTGGGTAATGTAACACGTTCCCCAAATGATTTACAACTTATAGTGGCACAGATAGTAGTTAGACACAGTTCAAAAGGCAATAAAAAAATAAAATTTAATTATAAATATATGTATACTGTTACAAGCTTAAAGCTACTTAGGATATACTAGTGTAGTTTCATGTTACAATTTGAAGTCATTTTAGAAAGAAAAAA